ACATATTTTTTTAGCATTTGGTTTGTGTATACACATGTGGTGTGAATTTCTGTTGGCAATTTAATGTCACAACAGGTCCCAAATTGTAACATTACTAAATAGATGATCTATTATTTTCAGGACCCACAGCAACATTCAGTCTGATGGCTCATCTCAAAGCACGAGTAAAGTCTGGGATACGATGCCGACAATAATGGGAAGTGATGAGGATGCGCCGCCGACTCCGAATGAGGAGAATCAAGCGAGGACTCCACAGGCAGAGGCGGGTACACAAGCTCAACCAGAAAGGCCTGAGTCGCAAGGGGCCTCTTCGTTACCCGAGACGAGATTCGCGCATCGTCGTCGATAACTACTGTTAAGGCGGGGTAGCGCATCCAGAGGCGCCCGAGTACCCGTACAAGTGAACAATCCCATGATGGGGAAAATGGACGAGATAGTACGGTTTATAACGCAGCAGAATGAGGTGGAGAATGAGGACATTCTCTTCGGTCGATCATTTGGCATGGCTTTGTCACACGTAAGAAACCGCCAGAAAAAAGTCCTGCTGAAAGCTAAAGTTATGCGGCGGCTTGGACAGCTCATAGCCGAGGACGAAGCAGACCAGGATCTGCAACAGCCGGAATAAGATGTAGACATGGCTAACTTGATATAACTGTTCTAGCAATGATTTGCAGATAGTTTTTAAGAATTGGAAGCTTGCAGAAGTCATTTTGAGTCAAAGTGTGTCAACACAGTGTGGAATAAGTACTGTGGTTAGCGGGATTGGGTGGCTGCATATCATTGCTAGAACATGCCTATATTGCCTATTGTCCGATAGTGTCTTTAGTTTGCTAATGATCTTGATGTAAAATCGCATATGGTCTATGTTATGATGAAAGCTCATATGTAGCAATTTTACCACATCACGCCCGTGTCAATATCTGTATTGTCAAATATCAGCTACGTAAACTGATGTACAAGAGTTTCATAATAAGAAACTTTAGTAATTCTGTAGATTGACTAAAAAACGGTGCGGATGGAAGCGAAACCTATTTTTTCAATTTAAAACATTTTTTATGTCATTCTATATAAACGCTTCTAACCACATAGGAGTTTTCGTCAAAACAACTACATAGTTGGATATATGCTGCTGATTTTAATAATTTGAAGTATTATTGTACTAAGCTGTGATGTATAGTTTTAGGAATTTTAATATATCTGAGTGGAGAGGGTTGTCACTTTTGACAGTATTAGATAAATACATACACTCAAAATGCGCTTCCAGTTCTGGTTGAGCAAGTGTTGAACTTTAATTGACATTCTTGGGGAACTTCCAAGATTACAATTTTTTTTTACTGTTTCAAGTATTTAATATACCCGCGCGGTAACATGAAATGTGATTAATCATTTTTTTAGCAATGTTTTTGCAAGAACAAATTCTCAGGTTGTTTGCATAATTTGTAACAAAAGGCTTTCATTAACTTGTCTCTAAAGCTGGCCTGATATTTGAGTTCGACGTGATATAATGTGTGAACTGCCATAAAAATGGATATGGTCAATGCTTAAAACCATATGTTTTATGTCGCCAAGTATATACATTAAAGTTAAAACCTTGCCTTAGAAGAACAGGAATAGTATTATGAGGTCAGTTTATATTAAATATTTTTTTAGGTTGACTGTTACTCAGAAATGTTTTGCTGAGTGGAACTACTTCTTAGCATATCAAGTTTAAAATACTACATCATGTAGTCAGTCATTTTTGTGCACTCCTTGCCATACATACCAGTAGGTAGGGTTTGTCTGTTCTAGAACGCCCTTGAGAGTCGACCTTGGGAGCCAACCTTGAATGCATATTTAACCTCGAAATGTGACCTTGAAACATGGCCTTGAAATATGACCTTGAAATGCAACCTTGAAATATAGCCTTGAAATGTGACCTTGAATCGAAATATGACATTGAAATATGACCTTGAAATGTGACCTTGAAGTCGTGACTGGTAGACGGTATGACCTTGGAAATATGTGTTTAAATTAGTGCAGCGCTCTGAGAGGAGGCAGTCGTTAGCAGACAGCACGAATCAAACAATGAGTGCAAGACAAACATTTAAGTTGCCGACGGTGTGGGAGGGGAAGCCGGTGGCGGTTATACGCCCATTCAACAGAATACATCCTGAAGAAGAAAATTGGGACGACCCATGGCCCAGAACGCATATGGGCACCACACCGCCGCATCAACCATCTGAGTCCAGAACACCTATGAACACCACACCGCAGCATCCTCCATCTGGGTCCCGAACACCCATGGACACCACACCGGTTAGCCGATATGGAGTCAGGAATCCGGCGCCGGAAGTGGCCGTGGAAGAGAATTGGGATGATGAAGCAGGTTCTAATTCGGATCAGTTGATTCAGGTGCCCATGCAGAGAAGTATACCTCCAGGCATGGGTCGTGGTGCGAGACTAAGATGGATTATACAGGAGAGAAGGAGATTGCGACAGGTGCAGCAGTGAAGGAAGCAGGGTTTCAGAGGGTGGAGGTATTGTTGGCAAACGGAAGCAAGGTTTAAGAGAGTGGAGACAATGTTGGTAGAAGGAAAAAGTAGTGGGGTGACTAAAAAGTGCACCAGCAAAAGTAACATGTGCAATGAAGGTGAACATATAAGTATTATTCCAAAGACCGTATCCTTCAACGAAACAAAAAACAAAGTACATATCATGTATGCATGGCAATATGCATATAGAGAAGCTCGAAGAAGTAACGGGGAGATGGCAGATAGATGTAGGTTTCAAAGGCGAGTGCAACTAGTCGAAGAAGTGTTAAAAAAATACTTGACAGTAGATTATAGGCAAACAGTGTTTACAGAAAGGTTCAAAGTGGAGGTATGTCTGTGATATGTATAAAAGTAGTAAGAAGTAGGTTTAGTAAAATTTCGAGTATGTAATGTAATGTAAAAATAGAGGGGAAGAAGCAACGCTTTGATGTATTTATAAAATAATAAAGATTGTAAGATAGGAATATTGTGTAGTGTTATGTGGGAGGAAGGGGTAAAAAATACATTAAATGAAGAAACATATCTTTATTGACAAAAATTATGACATGATGAAATTTTCATACAAATAAAAAACATCGCACACATGCAAATATCTGTTGTATGGTAAAAACACTTCGCCGGTGAAGGGGTGAGGCGGGGCTGCTCTTCAAGCTCGATTATTGGTTTGCTGGTGAAGTTTCTCAGGTAGGCTGCTTTTTCACGTCCTTTCACATAAATTCTGTCTGCCCCATCCGAAATATGTTTAATAATGTTTCCAAACTTATGTAGGGGTGTAAACCCTGAATTCCAGGAGATACCATGGTAATTATCAGTCAACCACTTCGCCTGAATCTTCAACGGTGGTGGCAGCAGATCCCAAGGAAAAGGAGCTTTGAAAATATAATGACATAACCTAACACCATCATAGGCGCAAAATTATTTTGCGAGAAATTTATTATTTTCAATTTTAAATCCTTGAACATCCAAAACGACACTCATATTTGTAAGTTGGAGAATTTTGTATATAGAATGCGTCTTTGACAATAGCAATTGAGTGCTTCTTTCAAACTTTGCAATTTCTGATAATACTCTCTGAGAGCTTGTCTGTAGGATGATGTCATAATGAGAATGAAGGAGATTTAGTCTGAACAAAGATATTTATATTGTGATTGGTCATGATTGATTAAGCTCTATCGCTGTTTAACAATTTTGGTTAAAGGGTTGTAGGTGAAAACGCGATCGTGTAGGATGAGACAGTAAGCAGATGTTTCCGGAGGAACATTTTCACTTGTCTCAAATTCAATTCGCATAACCACCGATCCAGATTGGATACTTTCCTTCTGTTTAGAGCAATCAATATGTGTGATAGGGGCAATAGAAAGGAAATCTTTTGGGGAAAACAGAGGTTCATTTTCAGTCTCATAATAGGAGGAGCGGAATTTTGAGTACATTTCATACAAGAGAGCAAATTTTTGGTTTTTAAAATCCAAAAAGAGATCATTATATGGGAAGCGGTCGGAGTTGAGGAAAACCCAAATATTGGTCAACTTGCAATGATCAAATTGTGACATATTGGAGGTAGATACTTGTTTTTTATTAGTTTGAAAGGCTAGGATAACATGTCTAGGGGTCTCGAGCTTCGTTGTAGTTTTGACTGGCCAGGTGTGACGCGTTGTTTCAGGGAGTGATGGATACTCTACTAGTTCCCAACTGCGAAAATATAGTGGAATTTCCATGTTTTTGTTGAGAATTTTTGTAAGAGCTAGTTGCTGAGGAATGTCAACAGATACGTGGGGTACTCTCCACTGAATCTTATCAATCCGAATTTTTGGTTGTTCGGATGTAGTAGTTGCTACAACAGCATCAAGGTCATGACTACTACGGATTAATACTAACTCCTGTTTCATATTGAGGAGAATTTTTCGATAGTCTTCAAAGCATCCCATCCACATGCTTAACTCTTTCAAGGGCGATGGTATATAAAATAAACCACCTCAAAGCATGCTTTAATGAGGCGGTGGTACATATTTAGCACCACTGCTAAAAATTTCATTTACAGAGCGAGCAGCGGTTCATTCCATGAACCACCGCTCAAAGTAAGTTGTTCACGTGTCTATAAAAGAGCGCATGCACCGACAATAGCGCCGGAGTTCGGAATACCGCATGCAAAAGCAAATTAAGGTTATGATTCATTAGTCAAGAATATATACCAGCTGTGAGTGGAGAAACACTAAAAAAGTAAGTAACATTGTATGATTTCGATGTAGTTATCTTATTAAAGTTGTTTTGTTATGATTTTATCCTATATTTATTTGAAAAAAAACCTCTATCGTTTTATATTTACTGGTACTCAATGCGTACCACCGCACACATTACGTTTTTATTTTACACCCTATTTTTTTTTTATTTTCAGACTTACAACATGTCTGACTTGCCATTTAAACTAGTCGATATGACGGAAGGTGAATTATACGCCGAACTCGAAAACATTTATTCAGAAATGGAACAAAGTCGTATAAACGGTGAAGAAATTCCATCTGATTGTGAATCGTTAGCCAGTAGCAGAGACGACCAAGAAAGTGATACAGAAACTACTATTAGAAGCAACGTGTTGATATGTTCATATAGTGACTCAGAAGATGATATACCTTTGTCAACTATCGCTGGAAAACTGCAGCTAGCTTCATCTGCCTCATCAGTTGGAAGAAAGTCTCCAGTTTGGTCTAATGTGAAAACTCCTACACCACCTCCAGATTTTACTGCGCATTCTGGTCTAGCAGATTGTGTAACGAATATGACAGATCCAACACCGTACAAATTATTTCAATTATTTTTTTCTGACTCCTTGATAGAAAGTATTGTTTTTGAAACGAACCTGTATGCTCAACAACAGTTCAGCAAGCATAAACCAACTGATGTTCGTGAAATTAAAACATTTTTGGGGTTAAATTTACTTATGGGCATAAAGCGCCTTCCAAGTTATAGGGACCATTGGTCTCGCGCGCCAGATCTACATGACTCTTATGTCAGTAATCTAATGTCGGTAAAGCGATTTAGTTGGTTGCTTGGAAATATTCACTTGAATGACAATTCATTGATGGCAAAAAAAGGCGAAGCCAATTACGACAAGCTGTACAAAGTAAGGCCATTGTTGAACCGTATGTCAGAGGCATTTGGAAAATGTATGCTGCCAAGTCGTGAAGTTGCCATAGATGAATCCATGATAAAATTCAAAGGGAGAAGTTCTCTCAAACAATATATGCCAAAAAAACCTACTAGAAGGGGATACAAAGTGTGGATGCTGGCTGATAAAAATGGGTACTGTCTAAAATTTGATATTTATACAGGAAAACCTAGTGGTGATGTCGAGAAAAACTTGGGCTCAAGAATTGTGAAACAGCTATGCGAGGGTCTCGAAAATAAAAATCACTTGGTCTATTTTGACAATTTTTTCAACGGAGTCGAGCTAATGGAAGATCTAAAAAATATGCAGATACATGCCTGTGGTACTGTTAATTCTTCTAGGCGGAATATTCCGAAGTTCAAATCAGATAAGAACATGAAAAGAGGTGATATCGAGTGGTTTACAAGCAATAGTGACTTATCTGTTATTAAATGGAAGGACAAGCGTTCCGTTTTTCTCCTGTCTAACTTCCATGACCCACGTGATACTCTTGAAGTGAACCGAAAAGAAAAGAATGGATCAATTACCAAAGTGCCTTGTCCAAAAGCCCTTTCTGATTACAATGCCAATATGAATTTTGTCGACAAGTTCGACCAAAATCTTACTTTCTACAAAATAGATCGAAAAAGCCATAAATGGTGGCATCGCATTTTCTTTTTTTTCCTGGATGCTGCTGTTGTTAATGCATTTGTATTATATAAGGAGTTACAGCTACCCACACTTTCTATGAAAGATTTCCGAAGAAGTATAATACAAGGTCTTGTTGTACAACAACTGGTAGATAGAAAAAGGTCTTCTTTGTCAACCTTTGAAACTGTTGCCATAAAAAAAAACAAACCATATGTTTCTGAAGAAATTCGATTTGAAGGTTCATCTCATCAACCTGAACGCGGTACTCGACGTCGGTGTGCTTACTGTAGCACTAAAAAAAAACAAGTAAGAACGGACTGGGTATGCAGCGTTTGCAATGTGCCTCTTTGTTTAAATAAAAATAAAACCTGTTTCCAGGACTTTCACAGAAATAAATAGGAATAGGGCGGTGGTACATATATAGCACCACTTATTTTTTGCCAAATATATGAAAAATTACATGTAAAAATAAAAAATATGAAAAGCTTTGAGTATTATTTATATCCTCAAATAGCATTTTATGTGAAAAACAAGTAATACAAAAAATTTTTTTTTGTGCCCAAATAGAGAATAAATTTTATAAAATAGTTTGCCCCTGAAAGAGTTAAAGGAATACAAACATTGAACTTGCCAGACTCAGAAATAAAAGTGTCTTTTGGGAACCAGCCAGCATTTTGCAAGCGTGAACTCTCATTTTCATTAAAAGACAGATACCCTTTAAGGGTGGAGGTAAGACCAACATTTCGAACGGAATCGACTACAACTCCGTTCAGTTCATAACCGAGCTCACGGAACAGAAAAGCAAAAGCGTTATTGATTAATTGCAGAGTTGTAACAGTAGTTCCATCAGCGTTTTTAGTAGTAACAGCAGTTCCATCGGCTTTGGTTAATTCTCCTTCGAGATACAAAAGACTTTGCGACGGGAGGGTATAGGCATCTAGTTCTTGAACAGCAATGCGAATTTCATCGTTGTAGTCAAAGTTGGAATTGATAAAAGGTTGATAAGTGTGATACTCTAGTTCTGTAATAGAATTATCAACAAGAGGTTTTTGTGTAACGTTGAGAATACTCATCCTACAACACGTGAAAACCTAGATTTTCCAAAAATTTTCTATTATCGTTAGTAAGTTGCAATGTTGATTGTTGTCGAAATGATCTTCTGCGTATGCGGGACGGCTTACCACTAATAGATGGTTTCGACTGACCTCGCTTTTTATAGGGAAAAGAGATCGGAGGCGCGTAATATCTAATGCCCATTGTTACCGGATCGTAAATGAAGTCGAAGTGTAATGGTCTCGTTACGAAAATTAATTATGTGACCGTCTTGATCAACAATGTTGACGGTAATGGTTGTGATTGCTTTAACACTCACTGGGAAATATAAAATATTTTGAGGTGATTCAACGATTTTATACCCGGGCGAAACAGAGGGAAAAAATTGATGGATAATGTGGCTTGGCACACCGTTGGAATATGAGCCTGTGGCTACATTGCAAGCAACACATATTGAATTCACTTTCAAAATTTGCACAGGAAAATCAGACGTATGTCTAATGATTGGGTCAAGACGTCGAGGTTGAAATCCGAGAAGGGATGCAATGGTACCATTCTGTGAAAAATCAATCGTAAAATTGGCTTTGAGAGAAACTGTTGTAGAATTCATATGAGGTGTAATGCTAATAATTTTCCCTTCTGGGAGATTTTGATCTAAATAATCAATAATATCTCGAATTTCATATGCGCCTGTAGGAAATGTAAGTAGTTCATTGTCACATGGAAACTTATTATTAGTTTCGACTATATTGGGAATAACATTGAAGGATTCAAAGTTGCACAACCCGATTTCATAGTCCACATTATCATCAAGATATAGCGGGGGATTAAAATGTGATTGGAGAGTGGAAGAAGTTCCCGACAGCGTAAATGTGAGGGACGTCATTACTGTAGAACGTTTGAATTGCAACTTCTGTATTAGGAGTAACAGTAAGAAATATATAGAAATTGTAAGCATAGCTGTCCACAATTGTGAGCATTAAACTTTTGTATTGGAGTATAATTGTATACAATGCGAACATTTTTATCACTGCTACCAAAATATCTTATCAGCTGCAGTGGAGGGCGCAGATTCCCATATGAATCAAAGTATGAGACAAGATTGCCATTTTTCACGTATGCAACCCAATGAGTCCCGTCGCCAGACGAGTCATCCAAATTAACAATTCCACTTTCACAAGTCTGTATACCCTTTGGTAATTGATCTTTCACGAATACTCCTCGAAAAAAAGGAATGTTAAGTTGTTTTGCAAAGTAAAGTAGTTCAATATCGGAAAGCGCATGGGATGGTAGGTGCCTTAGCAGTTTTTTTTGTACGGTGCTAAAAAAACCCCTTTCCCGTGGGAGAAACCTTGCGAGAGGCTTCTAAAGCCAAGTTATGACGCTTCTGTTCCGTAAGTTGTGACTGATTGGCTTTAGCATCATTGACAGCTTTTGCAATGGAGGCAGCACCACCTCCAAGAGCTCCAAGAGCCCCGAGTATAGGTAGAAGTAAAGGTAGAAAGCCACCTGTTTTCGGTAGAGGCAGAATCCGCAAACGTCGCTTGGAACGTTGCGATTTTGGTGATTTTTTTCGCAAACCCTTTCCCATCTTGTTCAAACGTTTCTTTCTTTGTTGTGTACTATGTTTTCGCAGGCCAAAACCCATCTTTTTTTTAGCTTTCATTGCTCCAGCAACTCCCAAACCTGCCATTCGTTCTCCAAAAGAGCTGTCGGATGCGAAGGCTCGCTGTATAGCTTGATCAGCCAAAAGTTTGTCCGCTTGTTGACGCGCAGTGAGATCTTTCTGCTGAGAATAGAAAATGTCGTGTTGTTTGCAAAATTCGTCAAGTGGATTTATACCAACATCTCCTCGTTGAAGACGCTTTTGCAGTTTGGTTGACGGGCCACAGAAATTGTAACCTGGGATGTGGGCTTCGAAAGGGAGATTTTCTATTACGTTGGAAATGAGGCCGCGACCTCGCACGATCGGTGTCTGCTGGAAAGTACGTGTCATGGTGGAGTGCACAATCATTATATACTCTTATTACGAATAGAGCGGGAGGTACTATATATAGGAGTCCATTTGGATGGCTACTAGTAATCACACAACATCATGAGAATTGAGCAGACGATACCAAAGCTTCAGGTAGATAATTACGATGGATTAGTGCAAGAAAAAACGTTCCGAAAACATGGAAGTGTGTTCAATGGTGCTTCTAAACGGGCTCTAATTGTTGGTAATGGTGGTGCTGGAAAGACTAATATCATGATCACCCTATTAATACACCCTCACGGATTACGATATGAAAATGTCTATTTGTTTTGTAAATCACCCTACCAAACAAAGTATCAATTTCTTCGCTCAGTTTTAGAACCTCTAAAAGAGACAGGATATTACGAGTACACGAACGGTGATGATACTAAGCCTCCAGTGGAAATCGAATCAAATGCGATTATGATTTTTGATGTTGTTGCATCATGTAATCAGGATATAATGCGTCAGTACTTTAGTTTTGGGCGACACAAAAATACAGATTGCTTCTACCTGTGTCAAACATACACAGCAATTCCCAAGCAGTTATTGAGAGATAATGCAAATCTTCTCACACTTTTAGCACAGGATGCATTAAATTTGAAGCATATTTACGATGATCACATTAGCTTGGATATGTCGTTTCAACAGTTTAAAGATCTTTGCTCACTGTGCTGGCAGGAACCATACGGTTTTGTTGTGGTTGATAAAGATTCACCCAAAAATAATGGGAGGTATCGGAAAGGTTTCGACAAGTATATATACCTATAGTGTGGTATATAAAGAGCGTGTAAGATTAGCAGTACCAGTGTTACGCCAGCCTCTCCATAATACGTGATATGGATCCAAAAATTGCAAAGGAATTGGTGAAAGCCAGACAAGCAGTCAAAGAAAAGTATCGAGCATTAAAGTCGGATATTGCCCAATCGGAAACCCAATTGCAAAAGCAGTGGAAACCTATATCGGAACCGCTGCAGCAGTTACTTGAAAAAGTAGAGCCAGTCAAAGTAAAACCAGAGAACTGGAAATTCAAATCTAAAACATCAACACCTCAGAAATCACCACTTTTACAGAAATTAACACCGACAAATATATACAATAGATACCTCCCCACTACTACAAGTTTCCTTGAAGACACATTCTCTAACCTTCCCGAGCACTCTATTTTAAAAGACGTTTCCGGGATAGAAGAATCACGTCCCGATGCTACAGTACTAGAACGAGAACGTGATGTTGACGAGCAAATGATTGCTCACACACGGGAAGCGTTTCGGCGCCTAAGCAAAACACCTGGTTATCAAAGTTATTTAGAACAGTTCCATCCATTACCTCGTCAATATATCGATGAGTCTATACGGGGGGATGAAGAGAATTTTGATCGATATCACGGTATAACACACGATTGGATCGGCGAAAAATTAAAATTGGGGAATACCCCAATAACCCTCGAGGAGTCGGATCTAATCTTAGACAATATCAGATATCCAGGAACGCCAGGTCTGTACGAGTTGTTGTTCAAGAAAGACCCTCGTGGATATAAACAGACCGATCTGGAGCACTACATGGATATGCTAAAACGGACCAATGCATATCGACGTAATTTTGATTCTAATTTACAAATTCAAGGAGTAAACACTTTCAAGTATAAAACAATAATTCGACCATATTTAGTAAAACACAATCTAATAAAAGTATCCGCTGAGGGTGCAAGCAAAACGGGGTCTTTTCAGAAACCGGCACCTCCTAAAGCTCGACCCAGATCACAATCATTCAAACATGTAAGGGGTGGTATATTAGAGTATTCCCCGAAACCAATTGAGTATGTGTATTTTGATGATCCCAATGAGTTGGTCAATCGATTGCGCTTGCTCATCGCATCTGCGTATGCTGGTAATAACGGGCATAATAATGAAATCATGTCTATAATTGAGGAGTTGCGCGAATTAAAAATTATAAAATGAAGTTGTAACGTAATATTACTCTATTTTCGTTGCTGCAGTTGTACGATCAAGATGCCAATTAATAAATTTGGAAGACATATGCTCCATTCAAAAAAGAGGGACATATCTTCAATCTTCAGTGCTTTTCTAGCATCTAAACTATTCAGCGTATGTGTGGTACCCATTTATTCCAACACATTCAGCGCATTATTGTACACATTTGGTGAAAATAGTAGGGACTATATCGTTCCTGTGACCGGGATAGTTGATAGTATAAATATAACTCCCAAAATAAGAGTGAAATGTGGTCAAAGTGATGTCAAAGTCGACACACACCTGTCGAAAGGGGATATTCTGAACTTCTATTCATCTCATGAACCAAAACCTGACCTTATAGGTAATATCGTGATGCGCTGTCCAGTCATACAAGAATGATGGACTTTAAAAAGCAGGTCATTGAGGAACTTCATAAACCGGCTCGCAGAAATTATAGACGTCGACACGTTATTGTGAAGGGTATCAACGATCTCCTACAGGCAGATTTGGTGGAAATGCTTCCGTATCAGAAAGTTAACAAAGGATTCCGTTACATTTTAATTGTCATCAACGTTTTTAGTAAATTTGTGTGGGCAGAACCAGTCAAACGAAAAACTGGAAAAGATGTGACAGCTGCAATGAGTACAATTTTATCGCAAATGCAGACAATTCCGAAATATTTACAAACAGACCTGGGTACAGAATTCTACAATAGTGACTTTAAGAAGTTAATGGAAGCGTACAAAATTAATCATTACAGCTCCTACTCAGCGACCAAAGCAAGTGTAGTTGAAAGGGTGAATCGCACTTTGAAGAATCGTATGTGGAAGCAGTTCAGCTTTCAGGGATCGTATAAATTGTTAGATCTCCTATCATCAATCGTTGATGCATATAATAACACCAAACACAGCACAATTGGGATGAAACCCAAAGACGTGAACAAAAGTACAGCAAAAACACTGTTGAGAACGGCATACACACATTTGAAAACGTAAGATCCAAAGGGTGTAAAATATCAACGTGGAGATCATGTCCGCATAAGCAAACATAGGACAGCATTTGCTAAAGGATACACTCCTAACTGGTCCAATGAAATTTTCACAATCCGTAAAATACAGTATACCAATCCCACATCATACTTACTGGCTGATTCGAGCGGTGACGAGATTCTAGGTGGATTTTACGCTGAGGAGCTTCAAAAAGTCAAGTATCCAAATATCTATCTTGTAGAGAAAGTGGTGCGATGTAAAAAAAAATAAAGTGTTAGTCAAGTACGTAGGACTGGATAACAGACATAATTCGTGGATTAGAAAAAGTGATTTACTTGCATGACATGTATATTATTTAAACCAATCAGTTTTATAACACAGCTTTTTCAATAAAACACGATAAGTAATTTAAAATTCTTTACAGAATAGTTAGGATAGTCTGAATAAAATTTCAGCGTTGGAGCCTTGTTGAATTCCTTCAAGTTTGGATGTTGGTATGCCAGTTCCATAGCAGTCCTGATGTTCTCCGAATGCGGCAAATCAGAGATGTGTTGGATGACGAAGTCTCGCACATCGATGTTGGTGGTTCGCACATCTTGGACAAGTGTGTTGAAATACTTATTAAACTCCTGAGTTTTCAGCATATTAATGGTGTAGGCAATCAGCGGGGCTAACTGAAATAGCTTCAATACGGTCTCCTTACCCAAATAAACGACGTTTCTCCATCGATCTTCAATTTTGATTGTTTGAAAATCTGGAAATCTCTCAAAGGTGATACAGACGGAGTTGGCACTGGCCGAATGGAAAATATCATTACTGAAGAAAAAATTGGTTATAACGCCTTCTTGATTTAATATCTCATACCAGTCTTCTTCATTTAACGGAACGCCATTGTTTTTCAAACCACTGATATTGATTACAGGGTGGAAGCTCCACTGATATGCTCGACCAATGCTTATCCATTTTGATTTCGATGGATTTAGATGATATCGTTGCTCCTGGATGACAATTAACGGTGTCTGATCTACCCCACTTTGTACAGATCGTACCCCCTTGTCGTTTTGCACACCGGCACTCATGTTGTAACGTTATGTGAAATTCAGAATACTGGTATATGAAGCTTCGTGGCTAACTTGATACAGTGTTGATCACCCCTCCATTCACCAACTTCCCCCTCCCAAAAGTTGACGCAAGTGCAAGGGAAAATGATACTACCGTTCATGCTGACATAGATATATATATATTTATATATATATATATATATATTAATGATTTTGTCCCACACAGAGTATTTACGTTTTGGATAAATCACACATGATCTTTAAACATGCTACATAATCTTCGAATTTGGTGGATGGCCATTTCACACTACAGGGTCCAGAGGTCCATCCGAGGGTTTCATCTCCAATGTTAAACTTGGCTATATTTTTCTTTATCCATTTCAATACAGTATAATGTCTCATCTTATTTTCTACATCAAATACAAATTTAATATAATGCTGCTGTATAATATCGATTAAACGTTCTAGTGATACACAATCAGCTAGATATGCGATTTTACAGATGCTTTCATCGATATGTGATACAATGTCTTTATATCTCTTCGTAATATTTTCTACAGGATGCGGTTTATCTACATCTTCATAGTTACTATCAGATAACAACTTACATAAATAATATTGTTCATATGCTGATGGTGTGTAGGGCATATTTTCCAGTAGGTCTCCAAATTCTTTGATGCTTAAAACCTCATAATCTCTCTCTTTTAAACTTTGCAGTGTTTCCTGTACCACCCAATCTAGATGTTTCTTTTTTGTTATTACACTGGAAAGCACGTGGGGATGGCAACTGTGGGCATTGGTAATCCAATTGAATACTTCGTCAGGTATTGTAATTTCCTCTAGCACAAAGTCCAGCACTGGAAATTCACGTTTTTCTGGATTTCGAGTCACAAATTGTCGAAGCTGGTTTTTCAACACCTCTTCAGTTACATGACACAATTGCATGTACAGTGAATAGTATGTCGTAGTACTCATCCTTGAAACTGAATGAGGTGCGTTTGTTAAGAATATATTTATATTCTTGTCCCCACCACAAACCCCTATTCTATGATCATGCTATCTGATGCTTATTATTCAACACAATGGCTTCTTGCATCAAGTGCAGTAATGTATCCAAGCGCTCCTCATGTGACATGTTATGAAATAATATATCTTGATGACCCCAAGCTAATGTCTTTGTTGAGTTTGGTATCAAGAAACGTTTATCATCCGTACTGGTCAATGCTACTTTTTTATATAATTTGTGTAGATATTGTGCGACTCCCATTTAAATACATAAATCGTACAGTATACAGATGTCCGTTTCTCCTCAACAATATCCTTATAATGTAGCAAATGTAACTGATTTTTTACACTCGCCTTAGATATACCTTTGGCTCGTTTAGCTACTTGGTCTACCGCATCAATACAGTATGCTTTGGGACCTGTACCATAAAATGCAGACAGTATCTTACCAGCATATTCGTCTTTCATCTTACCCAACTCTGACGCTGTTTGAGGCATATTATGTGGGTTGGAAGCATCATAATTGGATGTGTCAAAGTAATGTATGTGTGATTTCATGTCCTCATAGAAATTATCGGTTTCAACACGTACTATTAGCGAATCAGTGTCCGTGTAAGCTACAGACACCTTATCGCCATATTGACGCTTCAGAAAGTCATAGAAAAAGTCATATATTACCGTTTTTGAGACATCTAAAATACAAATGCCAACATATGTGGGACGACAATAATCAATCATTGTTTTTTCCATTTGAATGGCTACTAAGTTTTCAGAAAATATTCTGTGCTCTTTAAAAGTTGGTTTACTAATATAATTTGCAGCACCTATTTTATGTTTAGATATTTCAAATTGAGTAGCTAATTTGATGTCGACTCTGTTCTCCATGTTTTCAATGGTTTTTCCAAAAATACAATTGATCATTAGTTTGAACAAATCTCTTTCAAAAGGATTCAGTGCTGCATTTCTAAGTGTGGTGTTTAACTGTATGTAGGACTTCAACCAGGCAGATTGTGTGAATTTAATGCCTCTATGAATTTTTGTTAAAATAATACCATGTTTCAAACATTGCTTTAGATTACGATAATGGATAATGTAGCGTTCTTTGTTGTGCAAATTTGGAATTAATTTTGAGCTTTGACTGTCGGGTGGTTTAAAATTTTCTGGACAAAATGGTAAATCGTTGAAATAATCATGTAGCTCAGTCGGTATGGTTAAATCGACTTCTAATGCATACCCAATATCCGATGTATCCGAAATCTGTGTAATTGTCTCTTGAATCCTATCCATCTCATCTCGTGTTAACCATGCAAAATTACCAGTTGGTAGGTACTGTTGCATCGTATAACCGTACAAATTTGTTGCATCAATGTAAACTAAATACGTTGATGCCTTTGACGGATCGTAATGTGGTAGAAATTTATTGTTCGCCTCAACTTTACGTGAGGTACATGTACTGACTCCCCCCCAAATTCCCTTTTTAAAAAAATGAATCATATCAACATCTGTAAGCAGCTGTAACTCTACTTTGCTGTATCGTAGCATCGCATCCCAACTCAAACCGGGGGCTGTAAAATAGTGAGCTGGATCAAGCTTGTACGTTTTTAAGCACAAATCTGTGAAATTTTCAAAGATATCTGTTAAAAGAAGAACATCCGAAGTCAAGTAAAAATCAGAGTATTCCCCCAAATTTTGACACCCCATTACTTCCCAGACATGACGTGCTCGCTCATAATCCTCGTCAGAAATGTGTTCATCACGTATTTCATCATAAAAGTCTTGTTGGGATGGTAAACATGTTTCATCGTATTTATCAAACCTATTCAGATATGTATATGGAAATATACCTTTGCATCTCATGTAGGAGAACTTTTCGTCCTCAGGAAAGACTTTTCGTACCGTCCGACATTGTTCTGCGCTTAAAAAGGATGCCAAGGTTTCTAATTTTGACGATAGAAACTGATATGAATCGACAAATCGCATCTGCAAAAATACAGTTTGTGATTTTCCCTCGTGGGAAATGTACGTGTCTACAGGTATCAATTTCGTAAATGAAACATATTTTTCAAAAGATTGTGGAATCACTTTAATTTGTTCTTGCTTCATAGCGAGGTGTTTTATGAATAGGTGTGCATCATAGTTTTTGAGGTTGGAATGTATTTTGGGATCTTATAGTTTAGATTGCATTTACTATGTGCTGTGCCACGATATTGCCCGGTGAAATGACAATGATCCCTAACTTTTCTATTTGTAGTGGTAAATGGATGTTCACAAATGAAACATACCTCTGCTTTATCAAACACATTTTTATCGTGCGCCTTCATTTTCATCGGTACATTTTGTTTTAAATATTGATCATATATTAATTTAAGATCAGTCTCTAAACGCGTAACAAAAATTTGTGCAGCATCCTCACCCCTATCCAGTTCGAGCTTGGATAGTGAATCATTATAAGAACATTTAATATAATAAGCAACCGAGGAGGGTCTATGTTCATACTTTTTGATGGTACATACATCCTCTGAAGCACTTGAGTGATTGTCTATCGGAGCTAGGATGCATTCAAAGTCCGCATAAACGCAAAATGGTAGTCTTAATTGTTTGTGATGCTGTTCAAATTTCAGCACATTATCCATTACCGTGTTTCCAAGGCGATCAACTCTGGTTTCCAGTTGGGGCAGCTTAACTGCAATGTGTTTGCAATAGTTTTGGATGTGAATTTACAGTTTGTCTTTTGATGCAAAGTATTGTAAACAGCCATCACAAAAATGCTTTACTCTCGTATTAAGTGACAACTGACTTGAATCGAGTCTTGAAAAGTTGGTAATTAAGCAGTAATGATGGTTACCTTCTGAATCATCAATAAGTAATAAGTTCAGATGAGTGGGTTGTTTTTGCGCCATGTAATGTAACGGTCCTACCACCTGATATTTAGCCTTTCCATCAATGAATTCCTTTTCTATTCCATAAACGTTAATTGACATATTATTCAATCTTTCAAATTCTGATATTGACTTGAGAGCAACGGGAAAGTCCATTCCTGCAAAGTTTAAACCAGGAATGTTCGAAAAATGTGGATATGACGTTGTTAGTGACGCTCGACCCTTTGGTTTTATCATACCAGCTACAATCGACCATGCAAAGCAGTACTCATCCGTGTTACGTATGTTGAGTACAGCTTTTTTGTTCGTGATTTCCTTAGGAAGCGGCAAATATACTGCTGCCCTCAAAGGATTATATTTATTAATATTAATTTCTAAATATAAAATGTTTTCCAACACCCACCCTGAGTCTTTTTCTGCAAAGTCTTTCGATTTTTGTTCGATTTTACTACCTAGATCATAATAGATTTGATTCAAATTTGAGGATTGTGTAATTATTACATTGTTCGTATTGTGGGACTTTACCTCTCGTCGGTTTTTAGCTGGTAAAATATATAAACCAAAAAGTTCCATATTTATTTTGAGTGTTGTATGCTTATGCAACTCATTTTCAATTACGTTTATGGAGTCCTGTGCCACATTATTCATATATTCAGTAACGTTCAAAGTCTCTATGCTAGCGGTTATTTGATAACTAACTATTCTACCTCGGAATGCACTTCGACATACTGACACATTATTTTGTAAAGGTCTCCATAGATGTGCCTTATGTTTAATGCTTTTCAGATGTGCCGCATGTGCATTCCTCGATACCTCACAGCTGCAACTCTCACAGCGAATTGTCCTGCTACCCGCACTCGCTTGTGAATCGTTGCCGGTGGTTGAACTCTCTCTCGACTTGCGCCCGGCACTGGGACGTCGGATGGTGTAGGACTCATTCGACTGGTTCCAGGCACTGCGACGGGGGGTGTTGCAGGGTTCACTCGTCTAATGTTGACACCTGCGGCTGTCTGGGTGATGAAATCTGCAATAGTTGGCTCATTGTTAGTAATATCACCCTCCATACGTTGTTGCTTGGAAGGTCTTTTCTCGCTTATGCAGACCTCTCTAAGATGTCGCAGTAAATTATGGCGTGCTGAGAAGGTGTGCTGACATCGAGAACATTGCAACTTGTCTGCAGTGCGGCGCGAAGAGGACGCATTACTGTCCTCGAGACTTGGGGATTGGGGAATGCTGGAGGTACCACCTTCCTGGTTAAAGGATGCTGAAACAGATAATTCTGTTAGTGATTTTATTCGATTTTATTTTCTAATTGTTCAATACCTGTTCCATCTCGAAGACAGATGCGCTTCGATGCTGGCTCACCATCTTGGCTGCACCGCAGCGTTATCCAGTGTGACCACGGGGAGGCGGCAGCCACCACACCATATTCTGGATCTGCTTACGTCGCATCTAAAACAAAAAAATATTTTAGCTGCTGTACGTTGTTTTGAACCCTTTGCATGATTTTTTTTTTGTCACACCTCTACATGTCTACCGGTATGTAGTACCTTAACATCAGCAGATCCAGCGCCTCAATATGCACATTCTGTAGTTGATGCGCATTGCGAAACCAGTTCATCCCTCTAAACTTAACTGTCCCTTCACTGTCTAGCCCCCTCCTCATTCGCAGCCCGTTCGAGTTGCGTGAGCGGCAATTCTTCGATCCACGTATCCCGATTTAGTTCCATCGCGATCTGTAGAAGTTGTGCCAACGGTTCTCTCAACTCGACGTCGAGCGCACACGCGGCCCGTTCAAGTTGCGTGAACGGCAAATCTTCAATCCACGTATCCCGATTGAGTTCCATCGATATCTGTTGAAGTTGTGCCAACGGTTCTCTCAACTCGACGTCGCGCGCACGCGGCCCGTTCAAGTTGCGTGAACGGCAAATCTTCGATCCACGTGTGGCGATATAGTTCCTCGTCCGTACCATACCGTTCACTCGCGACCGCGGCAGACATCAACGACTCTTGGGGTGTCGAAGTGGCTCTGGACGTGGACGGCCTCGACTCCGCTCCCAACAAACTCAGTTCCAATGATGGCCAAGCATTGTACGCATCCATCATTGTTGCACTGTCCAGGTCCGGATTGAGGGATGCTAACAATGCCTCAATGTTGATGTCGGCATCATCGTTCGACAGATTTTGTCCGCCGGCGATAAAATTGTTAAGCATGGTTTGCGAGCCCATGCTAACAATTTCCACGGATACATCATTCGCCGAAGTACTAGGCATCGACGTTGTTCGAGGGCACTCGGTCATCGAAGCGCGAACGGTTTCAAGTGGTGGCACAACCTGAACATTTTGTAGTATACGTACAACACGGGGCTTCAACAGTTTTTCTAGAATTGGGCGCTGACTATCGGAGAATGTGCAGTACTTGCACTGCTTTCCAGGCGCACACAGACACTCTCTTGAGCACATTTTGGCAACCTAACACAGAAAACAATTTTATAATATACTATTTTACTGATGCGTCCAATATGGAGCGTTTAGACTGCAGTGACGGTGTGCACCATCGACACTGATATAAATACATGTCCCTCCTACCCACCTTTCACGACTTTCTACCTTCGCGATATCTACCATCTGCCTTTTAATTAACAGTCAAAATTTATTACCCCATAATCGTTTATGCTCGATTTTACATTTCACAACATCCCATAATTATACTTTCGCGATCTCGATTTTCCACCATCTGGCAACGGAGGAGGGGAGCATCTATATATATTTACTCTGGTCTCCTTTCCATTCCTTCGCGTCTCAGTCATCGTCATGGATGGTCGCGATCAAGATGATCTGTATGTCTTCCATGAAGATGGCTGGGCTAGTCCGCTCAGTTTTGACAGCACAGAATCCACATTGATTTTATTCAATGCGGGAGGTGTTGCACCCGATGTCGGTAATGCTCTGTTAGCAGACGTAGCCGACATCGAGTCTGACGAGGAAACTGAGGGTGAAGATGCGGAGGAGGCACCTTCGTTCGAGAGTGAGTCGGAAGGTGAATTGGAGATTGAAGATCTCCATAACAACCTTGTTCCTCTTGACGAACCACTCGAGGTTGACATTCCAGAAGCAGTTCGGATTGACAATCTCGTATGGGATCTCGATGATCCATCCACAGATTCAGGGTATACCAGTCCTTAATCAAGGATGGATCGTTATGCATTTTAGTTTTAAGGAATTATGTCTAAGATTTTATTTGTAAGGTTGTAGGCTTTAAGGTTTATGTGAAACATATAAATAAAAAAATAAAAACACTAGAACCATTAACTATCTATTCGTTAGCCGTAAGACCATAAACCCAAACCCAATAAAAGAGTTTACAACATCTATGCATTCTTATTATTATTACATCAATTTCATGTTCATAAACTTATTTTAAAAATTTTAAAATTTTCTTTAACGCGTCATTTACACCCACATCATTGTCTCTATTGACTTTATGCTTTTGTTGTATTATTGTTTATGTCTTCCAATTACTGATACCCTCGATTTCTATAAGTATTTTACAGAAATGGCTTAGTTAATGTTAGGGGTATAATACCCCTATATCTTTTTCCCTGGTGATATTACACGAATTTGTTATTAGCATTTCCATCTCTATATTACCACTCCATTCCATTTCACTACATACTTTTATGAAATTATACCATCTAGGTTAGGGGTAATTCACCCTTATATCTGTTTTCCTGGTGATACTACAACGTTTTGTTATTAGCATTTATGTCTCTTTATAATCCCTGTAATCCATTTCACTACATACTGTTATGAAATTTTATCTTTCATGTTAGGGGTACTTCACCCCCTATATCTTCGTTACTACCCTCCCTACACAAAAACTTCATAAGAACAAATAGGTCCCTTGTACTAGCTGTCTTCATTCCCATACTTTTTTTTTGTTATTATTTAAAAAAAAATTGTCAAAACTGATTCAAAGTCCGCGGACACCAACAAATTTTGATTCGACATAGACCCTCACCCTCCCCCCTACTCCAGCGACACCTTCCTTCTTCGGCAACTATATAGCTGCTTCGCTCCCAACGGACTGTTGTCACACTGACGTACACTGCTCGATGCTATTCTTCTTTCACAATACAAGCACTTTGCTAGGTGCTTACTATGTATGTGCATCTTATTAACATATCCATCATCGTAGATACTAAATAGAGCATACTTTGCTCCTATGATGCACCTTTCACATACTATGGAGCCCATCATGCTCGTACCAATGTAGTAATACTGCTGACAACGTCCTTCGCTCCATTCTACACCCCTCGCATAGCTTTCTTGACACACACTCCATTCTACATATGCATTTCTCACACTTCCTTCATAACTCCATCCGTATGGATAGCGCACTCTATATCCATCTTGCAGTTCACTCCATTTAATTAGAAATCCATTCCCTCCTGACATCACCCCACTGGCTAGTCCTTCTCGTACTCCTACGTTTTCCAAATCTTATGGAGAGTCTAACAAAGACCACATACACTTCTCCTCGTCCTTCTCATTCGTATCGTAAATCCCACAATAAACCAGAAATATGCTGCAACAGCACCACCCACACGCCCAGCGCCACTCCTTAGAGTACTTCAACCGTTTCTCCGTTTGACACACTAAGCACCGACTTTTCCTCACTATATTTACCATGCTATTGCAATGCTTGCAACAACTGAACTGCCTCCTCTCCGAGCGCTGCACTAATTTAAACACATATTTCCAAGGTCATACCTTCTACCACTCACGACTTCAAGGTCACATTTCAAGGTCATATTTCAAGGTTATATTTCAAGGCCATATTTCGATTCAAGGTCACATTTCAAGGCTATATTTCAAGGCCATATTTCGATTCAATTTCGCATTTCAAGGCTATATTTCAAGGTTGCATTTCAAGGTCATATTTCAAGGCCATGTTTCAAGGTTACATTTCAAGGTCACATTTCGAGGTTAAATATGCGTTCAAGGTTGGCTCCCAAGGTCGACTCTCAAGGGCGTTCTAGAACAGACAAACCCTACCTACTCATACCCTATTTCATGAGTATTCATTACTGTAGAATGACAGCTGGTTGTCCAGTGAAGTTTTCAAAATTCCCCATATTGCCAAACGACACAACTCTGAGGAGTCCGTCAATCCAAGGCAGACAGAGCCATATTTTGTTTTGTTTTTTAGCACGCTACAGATTAATTTTGTACTTGCTAGAACCTCGGTTATTTAGCAAAGTTCTATTGCATAAGAAAACGCTACAAACAATTTTGTGCTAGATTTACACCCGATTTATGACAGCTAACTAACACAAAAAACTCACTAAGCTGATCCGCTTTTTACCTCAGTAGGCTTAAAAGCGTGGGTACTCGTGAAACAGAATGTAGGTTGTATTTAATCGCTAGTGCTGTGTTATATGGCTAATGGTTGTCATTGCTTTGTGTTATTTATTTTCCGTTATATCTATATTTCTTCACCAACATCCAACATTTGGAATACACTCCTTTTATAGTGCCTTGGATTTGCAACGACAATGATATAGATTTTCTGTGATATACATATATGTACTAGTAGGTGCAGTATGCAAGAAATATGCTAAGTGTTACTACTATATTTTATTTATGTGTTTATATACTTGAATAGTTAACAATGAATAGTTACTGTACTCAACAGTAATATAAGTCCATATGTCAACTTTTAAAACAATTGCAACAGGCATTCAATGGTATTTGGATATTATCATAATAATTATTTGGCTATTCATGGCGTGTCATTAATATGTGTATTAACCCTAGAATACTAACGTACGTAAATTTTACGTACGGATTTTAATCTGATGGCTACTGAAAAAATACTAAACGTGGCAACTCTTTGCCGCGTCTGCTATGCCATCCCCACTTCTTGGTCATTAAAACAGATGCATAACCGTTTTGATTTTAGTTTGGGTTAGGCTTCGGCGGTGGTGTGTCTTACACTCTGTACGTAAAATTTACGTGTGCTTAGTATCCGCGTAAAAAATTTTGTACGTAAGTTTGACGTGTTTTTATTATTAACCTATAAATATGATGTCGGGACAATCAAACTACGATCTAAAGCGTCCTCTTACTCAAAAAGAATTGGAGGATATTATAAATAATGAATTCAGTTATGTTAGTGGAGAAGAAGATGACCTAGAGGAGTTAGAAGAGCCATTTAACAGTGATGATAGCATTAAAGATAGAGACAATGATCCTGCACAAGACGAAGAAAATGTCTTCGCACAACTAGCTAACACCTGGACAACTACACCAGCAGGAACTCAAAAAGAAGCAAGAAATACGTGCTCTCGTAAAAGGATTAAAATTACGCAG